AAAAACCTCTAATTTAAATTTATCTAAACAAGTTAAGATTTAATTTTAATGAATATGAACATTTTAATAAATCACAACAATATAGAATAATCATTGAAAATTGCAAAAACAGCCTACAAACCAAACCAAATAAATGGGCAAAATACATCTCTATGGCAGGCATAAAAAATATCATTAAAGGGGTGGCACCTGTGGCTCAGTGGGTAGGGCGCCAGCCCCATATACAGAGGGTGGCAGGTTCAAACCCGGCCCCAGCCAAACTGTAACAAAAAAATAGCTGGGCACTATGGCAGGCAACTATGGTCCGAGCTACCAGGAAGCTAAGGCAAGAGAATCACCTAAGCCCAAGAGCTGGAGGTTGCTGTGAGTTGTGATACCACAGCACTCTACCAAGGGTGACAAAGTGAAACTCTTGGTCAGGAGTTCGAGAGTGGCCTGAGCAAGAGCAAGACCCTGTCTCTACTAAAAACAGAAAAAAACTAGCCAGTTATTGTGGCAGGCACCTATAGTCCCAGCTACTTGGGAGACTGAGGTAAAAAGATCTCTTGAGCCCAACAGTTTGAGGTTGCTATGAGCAACGATATCACAGCCTCTATGCAGGGTGACAGAGGGAGACTCTGTCCCGCCCCCACCAAATAAAAAAATAAAACCCAGAAGTCTATGCTTTGAGATTTTCAGTTACCAGGCTTTCATCCACACAAACTTTTTAGAGGGGCTAATCCTAAATGGACTTGTTCATTGGCCCTTTTGAAAAGTTATCCATTAAAATAGATTTCATAAGCTCAGCGCCTATAGCTCAGTGAGTAGGGAGCCAGCTACATACACCAAAGCCGGCAGGTTCAAGCCCAGCCCAGGCCTATTAAACAATAGTAACAACTGCAACCAAAAAATAGCTGGGCATTGTGGCGGGCATCTGCAGTCTCAGCTATTTGGGAGGCTGAGGCAAGAGAATCACTTAAGCCCAGGGGCAACATAGTAAGACTCTGTCTCAAAAAATAATAATAATAATGATAAAAAAAGAAACGGATTTTGTAAGTTCTCAAAATAGTCCCAAGATTTAGGATATTACATCTATACCACTGATGATAGTAGTTTCTATCTCCAAAACCCAAATAAAAGCAGGTAAGTGCACCAACTTCTCAAGTGAAAAAGAAAATCACAGTATCAATTCTCATATCTCCACCATACCTCTGAGTTTATACTGTTCCCCACTAGCAGCATTTACAGTGAAGGTGTGAGAGTCCTCATCACTGGGTGATATCACAGCTCCTGCAAGCTGCAAAGTACCTCTAGGTTTTTGATTTCTAGACTGTTCATTCACAAAGTACTCCAATAGCCCAGCTTCATTATTTAAAACAAAAAACCTGTAATGATTAAAAAAAAAACTGTAATTTTTAAACATTTTCTCTAGGCAAACCAAAGCTAAGCAAATTTTAATCACTTATACACTTCAGGTTTTCACTATTTAAAAAAAAAAACGTAAAAGCATTTCAGAAGTACTTGGAAACATTAGACTGAATTTCCTGGCAGCAAAGATTATTAAAAAATTGAATGAGTTTAATAAAAGACAAAATCTTCAGGTGCAGCATTTAATAGGGAATAGGCATACCAGTGAATGCATAAAAGGAAGCAAAGATACAGTATCCTTTCAAAGGAAAATTTATCTACAGAATTCATTAGGAGAGGTTAAACTGCCCAGAGAAAACAGTAGTGAGAACTTTTATTTAAAATTCACTGAAAATAAATTAAAATATGAACTCTGAGGTTAACTAAATGTTAGGTAAGATATGAACCTGATTTAATATTTAATTAGTGAAATATACAATGAGAACAACATCAGGATAGAAAGATTTTCTGAAAGTATCGTTAAATAGGTCACGCTAGATTACTTGTCCTGTTTAAAAATGAAAAAGCTGCAATTGGATATGCAGAAACATAAGGAACTTGAAACTAAATGATGAAATACTGATATACTTTGGAAAACAATTTGATGAAATACTAATACACTTTGGAAAAGAATTTGATAAAATACTGATGCACTTTGGAAAGGAATTTGATGTTCTGATTTAGTTCTAGATTATCTACTTTAGGAAATACATTAATTCAGATCCCAATTGAAATAGTATAACTCTCAAAAGTATCAATTTTTTAAAATTCATGTTTGGTTTTGGAGAAGTTTGGCACTCTCCATGTTAGCCTGCTCTATAATAGAACCTGGTAGATAATTTCAGGAACAAGTTCGGGAACATGAACTGGACACTGTCACCGTCTCAAGTAATGAGGATGATATTGTCTCAAGCAATGTGACAACCATGTCCAAGTTAGTCAAGAAGAGAATAGAATTGGCCTTTTATTCAGAGAAAGAAAAAGAACAGAGGAAAAGAAAGCTAACGAAGTTGAAAATGCTTATTCAAGAGAGAGACAGAAAACCAAAGGACTGATGTTTTTCTCATAAGTCTTTTAGCATGCTTCTGATATTTAAAATTATGTTCACATATTTTGATAAAAATATAAACCAATTTAAATATTTTTTCAGTGCTTTTAAACTTATGTTTTATTATTAGCAATGTCAAAATTTTTTTATGACTTATCGACCATCTATAGATCTACTTAGTGAACTGAACACTGTATTTTTGCTCATTTCTAATATGGCTGCTTATCTTTATTTCTGAATTTATATGACAGGATTATCTGAATTAACAAAAGACAGCCATTGACATCATCTTAAATTTCTAAAACACATGACCTGTCCTTTGTAAAATGCCCATGTGGGCTAGGCATAAAGGTGAATACCTGTAACCCCAGCTACTGCAGAGGTTGGGGAAGAAGGATCACTTGAGCCAGGAGTTCAAGTCTCCTTTTGGGCAAAATAGTGAGACTCTGTCTCTAAAAACAATACATTAAATTAAAGGCTCATGTGAATCTCCTACAACTAAAAAAATCCATCAAAACTGCAATGGTACATTTCAAAACTATTAAGAAATGAGTATAATTGTGATGGATGTCTTACTTAGTACAATGAGAGCATTTCACACTGTATATCAAAAAAGTACCCTGAACCCCATAAAAGCATCAATGTACAAAGTTACGATTTAATAAAAAATAATAATAATAAATCCATCAAAATACCTGAAGGGCTCAGTTAGCAAGAAAACAATCTTTTTTCTTTTTCTTTCTTTGGAGACAGAGCCTTATTCTGTTTCCCCAGGGTAGAGTATCAACCTAGCTTATAGCAACCTCAAACCCCTGGGCTCAAGAAAGCAATATCCTGGGCCAGCTTGGTGGCTCACTCCTACTATCTTAGCACTTGCACTCTGGGAGGAGTAGGCAGGTAGACTGCCCTACACTCACAGGTTTGAGATCAGCCTGAGCCAGAGTGTGTTGTCCCCATCTCTAAAAATAGCCAGGCGTTGTGGCAGGCAGCTATAGTCCCAGTCACTTAGGAAGTTGAGACAAGAGAATTCCTTGAACCCAAGAGTTTGAGGTTGCTGTGAGCTATGATGCAACAGCACTCTACCGAGAGCAATAAAGTGAGACTCTATTGCCAAAAAAAAAAAAAAAAAAGAAAGAAATCAATATCCTGAATATACTAAAAACCAATGAACTGTACACTTCTTTAAAAGGGTAAATTGTATGGTATGAGTGGGCGGCGCCTATGGCTCAAGGAGTAGGGCACCAGCCCATATACTGGAGGTAGCAGGTTCGAAACTGACC